AAGAATAACAACCTGAGCTAGTGAAGAAATCACCTTCCTCTACAAAATAATTTGATGGAAAATAAATCAGCAAGGCAATTTTCACACTTTGGCTATGCTTTTGTAACCGTGCTGTAGAGCAAAGTATCTTCTTTGGTAGTGAAAAGATGTTTTATTTATTGACTTGATTTACCGATTAAACCTATTTGTCTTCAATTCAGCTACGTAGGGTGGACAGCATCATGCATACTGATTAATTGTCAGGGCATCTGGTGTATGTGTGTAGGAATTTTTACTTTATTAATATCTAAAGAAACAAATAAGTTATTAGAAAATATCCATCAAATTTTATGTCAAAATCCTTGAGAAACTAGTTTTGATGACGTTTCACGCAGATTCGTAGGGAGCTAAATACTCTGCGTTAAAATATTTTACTTAACAAAAGAGATTCAGTAAATACCTATCTGAAATCATGGTTTTATTTTGTCTCCTACCAGCATGTCTGGAGGAGATTATTCTTTTTAATGTATTTGTAAAGAAAGCTCAGAATAAGCAGAGCACGTTTGGAAAGTTCTGAACCGCAGCAGGCTTACAACTAACTTTTCCATGTTGTGTGTTTCCAGGTATATGTAGACTTAGCATCAGGGGGCTTTGGGGGGCGGGTTAGGAAAAGGAGGCAAACTGAGTGACAGCACCACTGCTAGAAAAAATTAATGCCCATGGAGCTCACAATCAAATATTTATAGCTTTATGGGCAACAAATACTCTGTGAGACAAGGCTACAAAGCAGTCCCATGCTCAGGTATTCTTTTTGCTCTCACTCTATCCATTTCTTTCACCATATCCTTTTTCAGAATACTTACTACACTGTCAGCATTGTTATTGCCAACCCCACTGCAAACTAGTAAAATGGGGAATGCTATTTAATGCCTTTTTACGGATTTCTCAGTTGATCCAGTTGGTTCCTATTCAAATATTGTGTTCATTTTAAATGCTGCAACTGGTAGGGCAAGTTGGACTTTTGTTCAAGAATCTGTTTTTCAAATACATCATATTTAAGAGATCTAGAAATAATAAAAAAAATACAGAAAACATTTTGATTCATTTTTAGGTGATTAGCCCAGTTTTCATACTGTACTTCAACCACTAATTATCTTAGGAGATGGTTTTGCCAGGAAAAGGCTGCACCATGAATTCTTTCAGTATTTCTGCAGATGCTGACTTCTGAGGCAACTGAAATGAAAGTGGCTCTTCAGAGATCTGTACAAGATTTCCCAGTCAATGAAGCTTCTATGGAAGATCAGAACAAGAAGTCACCACATATCAAGCTGTGGTACTCGTTGCCCGCTAGAGCCAGCTTTGTCCAACACCTACAGGGATGCTGGAAAGGGCAACTTGCAACCTCTTTATTAGCGTCTCTGGTGGCAATGCTGGGAGACCTGCTGCTCAACTTTGTTTCTGTAACATCGCAATACAGCACTGGTGTCACTGAGCATTTCAGACTCCACAGGGATCTGGGAGAAATTTAACCCCCTGCTACAATACGCTCCCTTTTTTATATCAAGTTTTTTTTTTTTTCTCCTGGAGTTCAGTAGTTTGATGGCCAAAAGTGCTGTGCTGTGCTCTGAAGCATGCTCTTGCCTCTGCAGAGCAAAGCACTGCACAGGGAAGTGAGAAGAGGGTCCTTGTCAGCACTACAGGGAGGAGAGCACGACAGGCTGGTCTGCTCTACTCTGCTCCTGGTTACCGTCACCAGTAGGGCGGAGAGCAACACAAGCACTCATTTACTGCTAGATACCAGCTGTGCTTAATCATCCATGGGACTGTAAGAGATTCTCTTAGAGTCTACCTCATCAGCAGCTCTGCCATTTATTGGATATTTGGCCACTTCAGTTCGAAACCAGATTTATTAATATCAAACTCGAATTATCAACTATTACAAATATCCTCTGAATGCTTCCCTAGGATACTCACTGATAGTTCTTAGAAAATATAAAATCCTTTAAGTACTTGGGCCTTCATACAAATTTTCTATAGCAAATAACATCAGGAATCTTTAGAACTCCAGATCTATACACAATTCATCATCTAATTCATTACTTCAAAATCTTGTATTTGGATTTTTAAAAAAACCCTCTTTAATATTTTGGAATTGCAATGCTGTTACGTAAAAATCCCCACACAACTTTATATGTGCTTGTCTTACTAATTTCAAAGGTCCACCTGCTCTATTTGCTAGTATACCATTTCCTTTCCTAAATGTCAGTCAGGAGAAACATGGCATCAGCCTTCATCGCCTATCTTCACTTGATGGCTAGATGTCTGTGGTCAGAAGATATGCCGTGGTCCTGCCACAGTCCTTTCTGTCAGATTTCACTTAGTCATTAATTAAAAAAAAAACAAACAACAAAAAACCCACCAAAAAAAACCCCAAAACCCAAACAACAAACCTAATTGGATTGCAGTAAGACAAGCGTTCCAGTTAGTTTCATGGTAGGGGAAAAGCAAGCTGTATTAACTCTGTTATTTCTAAACCCCAAGACTGTGCTTTTAGTTTAGGATGGTGTCACCTGGGAACAAGGATCTGCATTCACATCACACGCGTACCGCAATATAGGGACCAAGATACAGCCTCGCCCCCCTCCCCACTCACCTGGGCAGGGCGCAGGGGCTGGCAGCTGCAGCACTGTACACTGCCCACAGATCAGACCCACACCCACACGTGCATTTAATGCATCGATAAGGTGTAGGGTAATTTCTTGATCAGTTTTTGATAGCATCTGTGTTTCTGAAGCTGCACAAGTGTGACAAACGGTTGGGGGATAAGAGTCTTCTACCACATCAGTAACCCCCCCCCTCGCCCCACCCACCCCAGCAAACAAAACAAATGCCCCATACCTGGAGACATTTCAGCACCTGAATTATTAATAAAATAAGCATGATAATGAATAATCTATGTCAAGCATTTTCTTACCCTTTATTTTTTCATTATGATCAGAAGAGGAATATGATTAACAGCAGTTTAAACTTTAGCAGTACAATTTCAGTATTAAATATAAAACTACACTGCAAGTTGATGTATTTTAAAAATGGTTATGTATACTCTAGCCTTAAATTTATGTATCAAATACAAGTAACTCAATTGTTTCTTGCCTTGACAATTAACATATCTAACAAATTTCAACAAGCCAGGCATCCATCTTTTCCATTAAAAAAAAAAAGCAAGCACACCAACTCTTATTCATAGCAAGGGGGTGTAAAGATTCAACACTTTCCTGAGTGTTGTGCAAATAATAACAGGTTTGAGAAAGTCAGTTAAATAAGTGTAATGATAAACCTAAAGCTAAGCTGGAGGACCTTTTGATTAACTTCATATTTCATGTATTACTTGCATCAGTTGAGAGCAACATGAGTTACAGAACTTCCATGAAAACAAGCCACTTACAAGCAGGTGGTTAAGCTTGATCAGTTTATTAAAAGGATTATATGACACGGTTGCCTGCAATAGCAGGGGACTGGATCTGATGACCCAGGAAGTTCTTTCCAGTCCCATGTTTCTAAGCCATGCACCAAGTGTATCCAGCCCACACTTTCACATTTGGAAAAAGCCAAAGCCACACACACACACACTCACAGAAAAAAAATAAAATTAAAAAAAAAAGTCCTTGATGACACCATTTCATTTCTCTAGATATTCACTATGCAGAAGGGAACAGAGCTAAAATCCTGTACACAGGACACATTTACTCGAGGTTGATGTGGTACTGAAGTCAGTTAATAATTAGATACCTCCAGGCAGATTCAGTTACAGGGCATACCAACACTGCACACTGCCAGACAATTTCTAATCAAGCCAAGAACCTCTTGCAGGAATGAGGTCTCTTTGCTAGCAAGCACAGAGCACACTGAATAAGCTAAAAGCAGCTGTTCTTAAATGAACTACCCTACCAACCGTGAGTGAATGACAGATAGATGGTAAGAAGCATTTACCTACTAGACAAGATCTCTCTGCACACTCAGGCAGAAGAAGTAATTAGTTCAGAGCAGCAACCATTGCTCCTACCTTGCCTGTCTCTTGAGTACGTTCTCTTTAAAAGCTGGTCTACAGAATCAGCGCAGCCTTTCTCAAGCACTACCAAAGCAGCAGTTTGCAGCTGCCGTGCAAGACTCTACTTTCAAACGGTAGTCAGACATTCCCATCATCATGGCCGGTTTGCTAACAGCATATACAGCCATAGCAAAAAGCCTCTGCAACAACTAGAGATCTAAACAATTGCCTACATTCAGCCCATCTAACTTTTAGGCACTTGGTTAAGGTGTCTGGGTCCCCAGTCACCCAGAACTCCCCCATCCCCCCACCCCCAGGAAAAAAAAAAAAAAAAGAAATCACTGAAGGCAGATAGTCTCAATTGCCTTCTGGAGGCATCTCTTGACCCCCACTGAGCAAAGCTGCATTTCAAGCAACCAAGTTAACACAGGCACCTCAGTTAGACAGGATGAATGGAGACTTGCATCTCTTTCAAGAGAGTATCAGTACTCTCCAAAACCAAAGGCAATTAAGCAATTAAGGTTTGCAACTCCAGTTACGTTTGGACATAAACTTACAGTCAAGTAATTAAGCTGTAGTCCCTCCCTCCCAAGCATAAAAGCCTTCTAGATGGAGGCTCTGCTATTTAACAAAACAAAAAAAAAAAAGGCATTCTTCTTTCAAACAAAGAAGAGTGGACGCTGGCTGCTTTGCCACTCATTCATGGGGAAGCTGAAGATCAGAGAACACTTACTCAGAGACCTGGAATGACTAAGCACTGCTAGTGCATGCAAAGCAGAAGTAACAAGATGTTTTTTAAACTAACCCTAGTCCTCCTCTCCACCCCACAGAATTCATGCAAGTGTTTGAGAAGATAGTCAAGACATAATAGCCCCACTTTCCAAAAAGGCTTAGGTGTTGTGGCTTTTTTTGTTGGTTTGTTCAGGTTTTTTGGGTTTTTTACATATTGTAAAGTAAACGTCCTTTTGTTTTCTTTCTGTGGGTAGAGAAATGCATTTTTGGCATGTTTGAGAATCATAGATATCTATGAAGTCCATGCTGTTTGAATTCTCCAACTAGTTTCTATAACCTGTCCAAAACATAAGCAACCTATACGTTTCCCCAGTATTGACATGCATGCTCAGAGCTCTCCACTTTAGTGAAATGAGGTGTTACTTCTGTGCTGATAGTTGACGAGTCAGCATTACACGACTGAGACCAACTAAATTAACATTGTCGTAATATGAAAGGCAAGCACAAGTTCATTTATTTATAGCAAAGGTCTTGGGTTACAGGAGGTCAGTTCTTGCCATCTTGAAAAGATAGGGGATAACTTATTGCATACATGTGCATTATAATTTAGCAGCAAGTCATTCATAGAAACACTTCCCTCCTACTGCTTTTTTGGTTTATTATCTCAATTATATATATATTTTAGCTTTACAAAGCATTTAACACCACCTTTAAGTTAATGGTCTTTTATTGGAAAAAAAGACTAGCATTTACAACTTGGAATGGACATAAATTGTAGTATCTTGAACAGCGATGTTGATAGTTGTGCTGAAGTCCACAGGCTACTCCGCCAGCTCCAAGTCATGGTACAGAAGGTTTTAAAAATATGAGAGTCCAAAGATGCTCCCTTGGTGAAGGTTTCTTTTAAAAATTTCGTGAACGGTAACAGCCCGACACCCGTTTCACTATAGTGCAATGCAGACAATGTTAAACCAGTATTTTAACACAGACATGCCATCCATAGTTATGATCATCGTATTTTTGGAGCACACTGCTACGTACAGGAGAACCATTCAACCTTTAGGGCATTTTCTCTAAGTTTTGCATCCTTCAACCATTTTGCTGCATACCATCCTGAGGTATAAACCAATTTTAAAGTAAACCAGCTATGACAATTTATACTACAAATTGAACTAGAATCCACTGTTGAACAAAAGAGTGGATCTTTTAGGTTGTTTTTTTTTCCTTTTAATACAAATGTCTGACTGTGCTCAATTGTCAAGCTGCATGCATGAAAAACTGGCCAGCCCAAACAGTGTAATAGTCATTAGCAAATGGAACTTCTTAGTTCACTAAGTGCTTCCTTTTTTTTATTTTCAAGGTAGTACAATTATTTATATTGTAAAACTGATGTTTAACTTTATCTTTTGGGGACAGGACCACCAACCATTACATGCAGTTTGTGGACAGAAGGTATTTTGACATTCAGTTTTGCTATACAGAAACAGAATGAATAAATGAACATTTTTTTTGCAAGAGGTAAGTAAAAGATTCAATTTGATTCTTCTAGAGGAAAAAAGGTGTAAAGGAGGTCTCTTCACTTTGCAGTCATCATCTGTACGAATTCTGAAAAGATAAAAAGTCACCATGATTTACTGTCTCCAGAGTACTTCAACTGATAAGTCTCTTAAACACACTTGGCATAAAAAAAGCCCCTTTCACTGCATCTAAGTTTTTGTCCACAGAAGTGGACAACAGGAATAAATTGGTGTCTCAAGTGCTAGAAATTAATGCCCTATGCAACAGGCTTTCATTCAATCTGAATAACAGTTTTGAGTCAAGACAAGCATCTTTTTACCTTCATAGTTGACTTGCCCATCCCCATCAATGTCTGCTTCTCTGATCATTTCATCTACTTCTTCATCTGTTAGCTTTTCTCCTAAGTTTGTCATAACGTGACGTAGTTCTGCTGCACTGATATAGCCATTGCCATCCTGTGAGGAAAAAGAGTTGCACAAGATCATGATCAACACTCCTGACACTGATTACCTCTGGAACTACCTCTAGGTTTCCAGCAACTGCTTCTGAACTAGCCTTACGGCACTTGGGACAGATATACAGACCTGGCACACTGTATAACCCTACAGTATGTAATAGTCCCATTGCCTTACGAAGCATGCAAGCCACCATATCCTCCTATACAATTATTGTACTGTAAGAATAACTGCATGCCTGATTTGTAGCTGTGATAAGGTATTTTTAATGCTTTTAAAGAGCTTTCAAAAATAAACCCAGAAACAAAGTGGTTTTTGTTTAGTCTCTGCTGCTTAAGCAAGGCAAAAAAAAAAGAGACCCACTTCCCCACCAGCTAGAATAAAGTCAGCTTTCTCTTCTGTGTAATGCTACCTCTATAACCAGACTGCAGGTGGCTAGGTTAGGCTTCTTGGATAAGATGATATAGAACAAACCTTCAAAGAAAGCATTTAAATTCTACTCATAAGGAGTTGTGAAAAGCTTCATGGCAAAAAAAAAAAAAGAGAGAATGACACTTCTAAGTCAGTGTTCCCATTAGTAATATCCAAACCTAGAGCTCATCCCTAGCCATTTCAGAAACTGTCCTCTTCCATCTACAGGAGGAATACACTAGCTTAGAGCAGGAGTTCATATGGCCATCACCAGTAGATAAGCTACCTCAGTGGCTTTAAAACACAAATCTAGTCTGCAGAAATAACCCTACAGAGTAGATGAAGTACTAACCAATCGAATGTTTCCTCTAGCACATTTTCCAGCAAAGTACTAGAGACTGCCACTTTTTTCCATAAAAAGGAGAAATAGTAAGGCCTCCTTCCACACATGTGTGCATCAGCTTAGCAGCTGCACCAGCCATTGCTCAACACAATTTTCTTGTAACATCTGTCATATCTAAGCAATCCAAAGAGGGGAACCCCTGTTCTAGAAATAATTGAACTTCATCATGTATGCTTAGGTATCCTTAAAGAAGATGGAGGGGAGCTGAGCTCTTAAGCTTTCCTGAAAGCAACCTCAAAGTCCACATCTTGAAAATAGAACATGCAATACTTCATGTCCCTCTAAATACTGACGACATCATCTTAGTTTCAAAAGCTTCCATAAAGTGTAAAACCTTGTGCATCCATGCAAAATTTCCCCATTTCCCCAAAGTCAGAAGGTACAGAAAAACCCCACCCCACCCCCCCAAGCATCAAGTTCTGCTCATCTCTGCTCCTAAGGAAAGGCCAGAAGGTTTTCCTCATAGAGGAGCCTAAAGCTTAGACCTGCTGTGTAAAGCCGGTAGAACCAGCCTGCAACAGTCCTGGTTCTGTCTCCAGGACAGTCCCTGCTCTGTTTCCAATTCCTCTGCTTCTACTAGCGGACTTTTTTTCCTTCTAGACAAGAAGAGAGAAAACACTGAGGAAAAAATGGACATCATTACTGCTTCTAAAGAATATTTCTACTTTTATTAATACCTTGTCAAAGACTCGGAATGCCTCACGGATTTCTTCCTCGCTGTCTGTGTCCTTCATTTTTCTGGCCATCATGGTTAAAAATTCAGGAAAGTCGATAGTGCCATTGCCTTAATGAAAAGAAACTTCCAAAAATTAAAACTTCCATGCTTTTGTTTATAAAAAAAAATCTGGCATTTAATTTAGCCAGGAACAAGATTGACAGATCCTCCGTAACCATTCTTATAGAAGAACTGGATCTTCTCCCTCAATAGCTACCACTGCCTTTTTGCTATTACAATGTGCAGTAGCCACTGCTGTGTTTCAGCACAATGAAATCAACTGTTGCCTTTTCTCCAGGTCAAACCATACCATTTGCCACCCAAGCTGCAAGTAAAATGTCGGTCTGATGCTCCAAGGTTAACCAATAGTAAGACTTATCTTTACTTCAAATTATTCCCCAAAATGAATCATTTAGTTTCTTTAGAATCTCCCAATTGCTGTGGGATATTCCAGAAGGGAATGTATTTTAAAGCTGGCACTACAAATCCAGGATATCTGAAATTTGAGAACAATCACACTTCACTAAGCTGCTCATAAATACTGGTTCCTTTTTAAAAATCAACTTCCTTATCAACATACGTTGTACACCACAAAAGTAATGCACCATTTTAAGGGGCAGCAAGGATCTGCAAATTCCAGTGACGTGAGAAAAGCTGCCATTATTTGGTATTTCTGATAAGCTTAGCAGTAGGTGTTCTTGTAGGTATTTCACTGCAAAACTGAAAATCCCTGGTAACATCCAGGCCTCACCCCTAAGATTAAGTTCTTCATTCAAAGTAAGGATTCAAACTCCAGGCTGCTCAAAGCGATGAGAAAAGTGATATGGTGAAGAAACAAGTTCTTTGTAACAGCAGAAACTAGATTTGTATAGTCAGGATTCAGCCCTATATGCCAAAAACCCCACATTAAATAGTTCACTGTGCAACTATGATCTACCCATTGCTTGAGGGAAACATAGAAACTCATTGCGTAAGTATAGCAAAGAAGGTAAATAAATGCAGTTTAAGAAAACCTTTGCAGGTTAGGGATTCCAGATTGAGACATACACAACTATCTATCATCATGACCAGCTTTATCTACCAGCTAAATCTGAACACAGGTCTTGTACTCAGCTTTGAAAAATCCTCAGTGAACACGTAGAATAATAGCAAAGCATTCTGCCATAAAACAAGTTTAAACAGATGGGCAGGCACACTTATCTGAAGCCCTCAGCCTCCTTTTAATCTACCAGGGCAGCATTGTGGACTGCAGCCTAGAGAAGCCACTATACACAAACTCTACATAGCACTGCAAACCCTAAAGTTTTTCAGTATCTGCATCCAAGAGTTAGCAATTACAGTCAACTTAGGAAAGTAGTTGTAATTAATGTAGTCTGATAATCAGATAAATCTATACTCTTGCCAATATACTTTCACTCTTCTTTTACAGAAATATTAGAGAAAAATCACTATCACAACCAACATACAAGATCAAAGCCTTGACATCACTGAGCAGAGGAAAGCATTCTTCCTTTTTATAACTGCTGGCCTGTCTGAAGTCTCAGAAACAGAATGTGCAGTTACCCTTTCTGGCATCCATTTAAAATAATTCTGAAAGACTTGATACAGGAAGGTTTTTCTGCTTTTGCTTCCCATCCCTCCCCCCTACCTATTAGGGATCTAATATGCTAGATTAGACTACACAGTCTCTCCCTGTTGTGTTTTCAATTCTTGGAAGTTTAGCACTATTCCACTCCTACCACACTTTTGGCCTTAGACAAAACCACAGACATTAGTACAGCTGTTAAGACCAACATGACCTGACAAAACATGTATAGAAAAGCTTGGTGGAAACGCAAGTTAACAGCAGGTCAGGGCAAGTAAGATAGCAATAGGAAGCCTGTGACCCATAAAATATTAAAGACAAGCAGCATAACTTTGTCTCTGCCCATCCCCTTTTTTAGGTTCTCAGTAATACTGCTAGCACCTTTGACTGCTGTGCAGAGAGTCAAAGCAAGTGAGCAATCAAAAAATCAACACCCCACTGAGTTTAGATTCAATCAAGTATTTTGAAACTGCTTCAAGAGATCAACATCACAGAATCTTCTCTATGCAGTCCAAGCCCAGGTGAGGAGGTCATACGTACTTAAGATGATCACAGCGCTAATAACTACCTTTCCAACACTTACCATCAGCATCTACCTCGTTGATCATATCCTGCAATTCTGCTTCTGTTGGATTTTGACCCAATGACCTCATGACAGTTCCCAGTTCTTTTGTTGTGATAGTACCATCACCATCTTTGTCAAATAGGGAAAAGGCTTCCTTGAATTCTAGAGGCAGAAACAGTCCCAGTGTTTAGTAACATCACCAGCATGAGAAAACTGCATACTACAAATGCACTCCACTGACAATGCCTGGTACAATTTAAGAAATGTTTTATCTAACTGTCCATGTATTCAGAGAATTAACACTCAAATATTAATAAAAAAATTACTTGCAGTATCAACACATAATTTGCATAGTATATTCAAACTTGGCTATTAACTGCATATAATGCATTTCAACATCATCTTGCTTGCAGCACAGTTGCACCATAAACAGTAGCTGCTTGGGATAAGTGAAGGGACACACGGGGTTCCCTTCACCATTAACAGACTTACAGGAACAACAAGTGTTGTCATTTACCACTTATTTTTAAGGCAGCAGACAGTAAGAATTGATATCAGCCACAAGTGGGTGACTGGTCTCCAGAAGGTCAAATAATGCTCCTTCTCCTAACCAGTCTAAATTACAGACACTCCGTTAGAAGTTATTTAAAAGACATTGGCTTATATTAATGTCTAATAAATCCATTTTAGGTTTATTTGTTGCCATTTCAGTTCAAGTTTATCTTCACTTTATTAAGAAGAAAAGAGTACCTAGGTGTGCTTTTACTCCAAGAAGTTCACCTGAGTCTAGGAATTATTTCTGTTTGCAAAAAATCTAGAAGGACTAGGCTCAAGTCTGAAAAATCTAAAAAAAAATCATTATCTGTATTCTAAGGAACAAGCAGTCTAAATTAAGAGGCAATGAACCAGTAATCTTCCAGAATGTTCGGGGTTTTTTTGAAGTAAGTGCTTTTTAAAAAGTTAGTACACATTTGAAATTGTCAAAAAGGTTTTTTTGCATTATGTTTGAGATAATATATTTTCTTTCAGTCACAAGGAGTTTACAAAAAAATAATCATTTCTCATCAAGACACTTACCAGCAATTTGTTCTTCAGTCAGCTGATCAGCCTACACGAAGAATAGAACATTTTAGAATATTGTTTACCTCTAGCTATGTCAAGCCACAAACCACTTCATTTAGATTTCAGTAGTGATTTATCATTACTTTTACAAAGCCACTTTCAATCCCTGGAATTTTGCCTCTGCAAGGAGATTCCACTCACCTACACCATGCAGCCGTTTCCAAAAGCATATAAGCTAACTTGTTTTGGAACTGTACATGAAGAACCAGACATGCCACCCTTCGACTTGGAGAATCTGATTTGGTCAAGTGAAGGATACAGGGCAGGCTCCTTGCAATTGGTCAGAGAGGCACAAAATCCCTGATGACATGTGTTTGGGGTTTCACATCACATCAGATGTTGTTTCCAGCAGTACAGTGACCCTAATACTGCGTGGGGGTATTTGGACATCAGTGGGCTAATGCCAAGCGTGCCACCTAGTGATCTAACACTACTGAAGTCCACCCTCCCCCACCACATTGCATCAAGTATTACCCTACTGTAAGCTTAACAGAAAGGACTGTGCTGTGATATTAGGAGGAATTACTAGTGGGTATTATGGAGATTTTTGCTATCTCTGACAAAGAAAATGCCAGTTTTCAAGCATCACATTATTTTTCCATTCAGCCAAGCAGTTATCAGTGTGAAGCACCTTAATGTGGGTTGTTTTATACATCATTTTAAGTGGCAAGATTTAAAATGCCTGCTTATGACCTTCTGTACATCAAGAGGCCACTGCTGCATCTAAAGGTATACAGCTCAGTGGGCAATTAAACAGGCTTTCCCAGAGTTTAACTGTGCTAACCACATCCTTCCAGAAGCCTCTCCCTTCCGTGTGGATAAAGCGGAGCTTTTTGTGATGCTGTTTGGACTCAAAGGAGCTAACCAGTTCTTTATGGAAAAATATGCATTTTCCTAGTAATTAAAAAAAAAAACACCTGAATTTTTACATGCCTAGTCACAGATACTGAAGAATATGAGGTACTAACTCCTTTTAAACTCATTATATTGGACAGCCTTTACTAATAGAACAGAATTTTGTAGGTCAGAGAAAGCAGGCATCTTGCAACCCTTTTGTCCTAAAATACCATTATTCAAGCATAAAAACCACTTAACTGCAGTAAAGCGCAACAAATACAATGGAGAATTAACAGGCTATACAATCTGTTAAGCTCTTGCACTGGGGAATAGGGCAGGGTTGAAAGCCTGCTGTGTGTTAAGCGACATACACAGATTTCACCTGTAAATAGGTGTCGGGTTTTTTTCTTAATGTTTTAATGTCTGTATGTAACGATTAAACAATTCCCCATACACACAGTGGGGTGGGGGGGAGGGTAGGAATGCTAACAGATAAAGACAGTTCAAATTTAATAAAGCTTCTTTAATAACAGCAGAAAACTTGTGTTCAAAATCCAGTTCGACTTTCCTCACTCTCTTTGTGATTTTCCAGAAAGTGTGAGGTTTTACTTAAAGATTATCTAAGGAATTTACATTACAGACTCAATGCCCTGCAGAACAGGAAACAGAGCCACACCTCAGCAAAAGCCTCCAAACCACAGCACCGGCTCGTTGCCCCATTAGTCGGAGCTCACTGGATGTTTCTAAAAATCGGATTTTGAATAAAAAAAACCCCAACTTGGCACACACCACGATGCCAGAAGCAAGAAACCCGACCCTAAACTGCCATGGGGTTCACCCTGCCGAGCAACAGGCACAACTGCTGCCCGCTCGCCCTAGCTACAGGACAAAGGTACCCAGGGCTGGAGCCATCACCCCACCCAGCCAAGTCATCAAATCCCGTCCCGGTGATGTCAGCCTTCCCCGACGGGAAGGGGAGATGGAGAGACAGAGCCGAGGAACACCCAGATTGCCAAAATGCGATTAGAGGTCAGCCTGCAACTGTTTCACCGCTCTCGTAGGAAGCGAAAAACTGCCGGGAAAACCCCAGCCCTTCCTTTCGCCCTCTTTTGGGAGGAGTCCGGGCTGGCACCGCAGCGCCCGATGGCCGGGGGATGATGTGAGCTGCTCCCGGAGCCCACCGGCGGCGCGTTTCGGAAGGCGAGGCGGAGGCTTG